TCCCTTGGTCAAATGCAACAGACACTGGGGGGGATCCGCAGGATGAGATGTTCTATGAGCCAGCGGTTCTCAATAGGCAGCTGTCATGTCCCCCAGGGGACAGGGGACCACCTCTGGAGGTGCTGTGGGTTGTCACGACCTGGTGAGGAGTGCTCCTGCCAAGGCACAGGACACCCTGCCACAGAGGACGGCCCCCACCAGAGGACGAGCCAGCTCCCACTGACACCAAGGCGGACAGACGCTCATGGCGGTCCCTGGACAGTGGCCTGGACCTCAGCCAAGCTGTGTTAGACAGGGAGGCAGCAATGGTGTGAATGTGGGTCTGCTCTGGGAACACGAATCATGGGGTGGGGTCCGCACAGGCCGGTACAACCTATGCGTGCCGCCTCCTGCTGTCCTGGATGTACCACATCCCCCTGAAGACGACCGCTGCCTGCTCAGCCTCATGATGGGGCAGGTCTAAGAGCCAGTGACAGCAAGCAAGGCAGAGACACACCCATGGGGCATCCCATGGCCAGGCCGTGCATCTCCGCAGGGGCCCAGAACCACGGCAAGAGTCCTCGATGCAGGCACGCAACACCCACTGCGGATAGCACGGCCCTCCTCTGCACCTGCCTGTGGTTAGGGTCTTCCATGGGCACTTGACTTTAAACCCCCACCCCTTACCACCCGTGCCTTTGGTCTGCAGGGTCAGATTGTTAAGTAGAGCTGGGCTTGGACGGCGGTAGAGCTGGTTCTGCTCTGTGCCTATTCAGAGTTGTCCTTTCATGTCCCTCAGTATTGGGTTGGAACAGAGTCCCCAAATGTGGAATATGCTCTTCAAGCTCCCAGAAGCCTTCCAGGTGCTGTGTGTCCTGGCAGGGGCTGCGAGAGGCAGTCACTTATCTGTCCTCTACTTTGGAGGGGATTCTCTCACTCAGGAGGGCCCAGTGTGCTCACCACGTCTTGCTCATCTGGTCTCATTAGCACAGGGCCATCGATAGAGGGGGCCAGTGTGACGTCCTGGGGACATTCATTCAGCTGGTGCCGGTCTCTGGATTCTTGGGAGAGAGGCAGGAATGTTACCATAGCCCATAGCTCTGGGGAGGAGCTGGCTGTTTCCTGTTTTGAGTTCCACGGCAGTGTGACTGATCTTCCTGCCATGCAGGAGATGGAGAAGAATGCGCACCCAGCAGCAGCCTCACCGCACACCTGGGCAGGCTGGGGAACCCTCTCTAGCAAAGGCACCGCATCTAGCTGGGTTATTTTTGCAACAGTCCAAAATAACTGGTGTTGCACATCTTCCTCTCAGGGACTCAGCCTTCACTTCAGTGACTGTTCTCTGGGTCAGAAACCCACTCAGGTCTAGAAACTGGGCAGCGTCATGACATATATATATGTGTGTGTGTGTATATGTGTATATATATGTGTGTGTGTATATATGTGTATATATATGTATATATATATACACGTACATATATGTGTGTGTGTGTGTGTGTATATACAGAGAGAGAGAGAGACAGGAGTCTGGCTCTGTTGCCCAGGCTGGAGTGCAGTGGCATGATCTTGGCTCACTGCAA